AAGCCGTTGTTGATCCCAGCCCCCAGGGCAGGTGCTGGTCAGTGTGCACTGCTTCCCTCCCATCCGCAGAGAGCGGTGCGCCAGCAAGCTGTGGGTCCGCTTCTATCCGGCAGTCCCTGCTTCAGAGCTGGCTGGACTGAATTCCTGGCCTGCTTGTTCAGCCTTGGGAGGATTTACAGCAACAAAATTGTGAGGCTGTTGGGTGGGTCTAGAAACGACCAGCTGCCCCCACCCCGAAGATGCAGCTCTAGGCCCACTCAAGGGCTGTGGGGCCTCCCTGCCAGTGTAGGAAGAAGCAGCCTGGGCTTATTGCTGTCTTGGGGCACCATCTGTTGGTGTGGAGGGCCTGACCAGCCCTGGGCTTTGTCCGTGAGATGGACCAGTGCATCCTGAGCAGTGGGAGGCCACACAGGGAGCGGCTAAGGAGCTGGGTGGGTAACCTGGAGAAGCAGACCCATGTTGGAGTCTTCACAGCTCTGAGAGCCCACTGTGGGACAGGGACCCCTTTTCCTGGGAAATGTGCCAAGCTGCAGACGGTTAAAAGGCTTCACGCCAGGTAAGTGCTGGATCACTGGCACTTACTGAGCCCCCTGTGTGCGTTTTCACACTTAGTCCTCTCACCCTGAGAGATTCATTTCCTCGTTTTACAGATAGGGAAACTGAGGGCCAAAGAGAAAAAAATAACTTGTCTAGAGACCCACAATTACTAGCTACAAGGACGGGATTTAAACCTTCCGCCACCACCCCCAAAGTCCTCAGGAAGTGTCTCATGCCTTTCATGGTCCTCGCACCCATTTCGCCTGCCCTTTGTCTCCAGCTGGTGGATGCTTTACTGGGGTGTGCATTGCCATTTGGAAAGGGCCCAGCTGAGAATTCTATTGGGGCCCAAGTTCTGGAGATTGGGTTGGTTATACTCGGCCACCATTCAGCACAGGGAGTGTTCCCACTCCGTAACATGCCACCCCTCTTCTTCAACTGGTGAAAGTAAGGCCCAGAGAGGGGAAGGAACCTTCCAGAGACCTCTTAGAGCCAATCAGGCCACACACTGAGGGTAGGTCATCATTTCCTTTAGTCCAGTGCCTTGCTTAGGTGCCAAGTGGCAGGAGAGTGTGCCCTAGAGACTTTTCTTACCCTAGAGACTTTTCTGAGAAACAAAGCAATTTTATTTGCAATTCACCATCTGAAGATTTGTCTCCATTCAAGCTACTTTTCAGGTGAGATCCTGAGTTCAACCAGCAACAGGTCTGCCTTCCTGCAAAAGTGAAAGATGGGCCTATGACTCAGTGCTGAGCATAATTATTTTGGGGACTGTCTTCCCCACAAGGGCTGGTTTCTCTGCTCTAGAGAGCTCAGGACAAGTGTCTTGCCCCTCTGGGATGGTAGAACTCAGGCAAGTTCAGGTTCACATGACAACTTTGTCATTCAGCAGCTTTGGGACCTCAGACAGGCTATTCAGTTGCTCTGAGCCTTAACTTTTCTGTCTGTAAAATGGAAAGAGTCACAACCCTCATCACACTGTACTCTGATGATGGAGGGAAAAGATTTGGATGAAAAGACTGCAAGGCCTGAAGGTCACACATGAAAGAATGGTTATTGGTGCTATGGGGAGACTTGCTGTATTAAAATTTAATTAATATTAAAACAGTATTGCATAAAGAGGTACTTAGAGGACACAGAGGACCCATTTACAAAGCTCATTCCCAGCTAGGCCTGGCAATGAGACACATGGGTGGCTTAGAATCAGCACTGTATAGGAAATCCTAAATTTTATTTGAGGCAATAGTTCTAACCATGAGCCGGACAGTGGTGCCATCTTTTATTCAGGCCCTCCTGAGGCTTGGGCCACTGGTCCCCGGGTGTGAGAGGGTCACCACCACCCTACTCCCCATTCTAGCCATGACCTATTTGTGAATTGAATCATTTGCCCAGAATCAGGAGGAAGTATTGAACTGATTGCTGAGTCCTACCTCCAAAATTCAGTAGGTTCAGGAGATTCCCAGGCACTATGATGCTGCTGATCTGAAGACCCTGTTTTGAGATCCTAGCACACACTTGGTATGGCCGGTGCTGGGTTAGGGTGGAGTTGGGGAGGGAATGTTACAGCCCAGCTGGGTTATACCAGTGCCATCTCCAGGAAGCCTTGCCTGGCATTACCAGATCCTTCCCACCCTCACCCCAAGTTGGG